TAGATCATTTTGTAGACTAACATAAAAATCCTTTGTTACCCCACTAGCCCCGCAAAGCTTATTTATAATATGGTCTTTCCAGAAAACATTTGCCAGCCCCTGGTTTAGGTGAAACTAATGCAAGAAAAAAAGCAAAAGACCAAGTTTTAGTACACCTCCATTCAGAAGTCAGGAAAATGTAAAAGAACTGTAAATAAGAGTTAAGAATTGCAAGGGAGAAAAACTCAATGTAGCATCTCAAAAACTACAGAGAATTTTGGTCAACTGTGTTGATGGCACTAGGTACACATCAAGATTAGTTTTGGATTTGGTAATGTGAGGGTTGGTGGTGATCTTGGTGTGTAGCTTCAGTGTATCCCATCCATGTCCCCTCACTTCTACCATCTCAGGAGTGCCACTATGATTTTCAATTATGTAGCTGTTCCTGATTTTATTTGCCTGAAAACGTTCTCCAACTGCTTTATTCACATGCCACAGGCTGGAGCTTCTGAGTAATTAACACCCTCAGGGGCAACCCTCAACAGTGACAAATAAGAGTAGTTATATATATATATATATATATATATATATATATACTCCAGATTCCTGGCCTTTCAGATGGAGTAACTCAGAGATATGTTCTCTTAGTTTCCCCAGTGTTCCCAAAAAGGATTAAAAAGGGGAAGTTTTCAGTTGAAGGAGGACAGAAAAGGACCAGAAGGAGGGAGGGAGGAATATGGGGGACTATGGTGATGAAGGCAGCAAAGTGGGGGGAGGTAGAAGTAAACATTGTTTTAAAATGAACAATAATGTGAACAGATATATAAATTAATAACAAAAAAGAATGGGAAAACTGTACTCTCAGGCTATTTAAAACAACCATCTCCAGAAATTTGATTTGTAGTTATCACATTCTAAGTAACAGCGAAGATTTGGACTGATCATGGCTGCAGTTGTTAATGGTCTCCAGTTCAGGCTGAAGATTGACTATGAGGTGGGATACAGAAATGACACCATCTATATTCATTCAGATTATTGTCAATGTTATTTCAGTTGTCATATTTAACATACCTATTATTCCAGGAATATTTTCATCAGGAAGATAAAATTGCAAACAGCTATATTGTTCATTCAGAAACTTTCAAACTCCTGAAAATCCTGAAATGAACACTGAACTGCCCAACATTTCTGTAGATGACGTCAAGTGATTTTTTTACATGTGAGGAAGACAGAATAAAGGTACCCCAAAAATAACTAAAATACTAACACCTCAAATTTTTGAATATGCATTGCTATGTGGCAAAGGGGAATTAAGATGGCAGATAGAATTTAAGCTGCTAATTCAGTTTATTTTAAAATAGAGAGATTATGGGGGGACTTCCTGGTGGTCTCAGCACTATGAAGCTATCTGCAGCCACTGCAGCAAGAGTTCCATCCCTGGTGGAGCAGACCTCTCCTGTCTCACCTGCTGCTCCCCTCAGCAGTTTCAGTCCATCTGCCTGTTCTGCTCCCCACTTTGTCTCTCATGCCCTGTCCTCTCTGGCCTGTATCCCAGTTCTGTATGCATAAGTAAATAAACCTTTAAAAAAATATTTTACCCAAAAAGCCCCCAGAAAGGATTGACCTTGCCACCCCAGTGGGATCTGTGTCAGATCTCAGATTTACAGAATTATAAAATGATAAAGTTGTATGAGTAGCAACAGAAAAGAAATACATTCTCTAAGACCCTAAATTCCTTATGTTATGGTCACTTATTCTAACATTATATCTTAGTTTTTACCCAGGTTTAACCCAGCCCCCCCAAATTGAAAAGCTCCTTTAAACCAGACCCCAAAATCTTACAAATAATTCATCTTCTTTCATGGGAATGCTACTGACTTTGTAAAGTTACTGGTATCTTTTATTAGTAAGTAAAACAGTCACTTTTGCCTTATCAACATTCTGTTTTGGTGGTATTTTTTGGGAGCCAGCATTTTGGACAATAATTTTATATGTGTGCCTAGAACAGTAACTGTTTTAGGTAACTAATAGGTAGGAATTTAATAAATATTTGATACAGAATGGATGCAGCACCTGAGTTCTAATATAATATGGAGTAATGCTTTTGTAGAAGTAATTACGACTTGGCATTTTCTCTACCTAGATGTGACTTTCATAAAAATTTTGAAAGCCTGAATGAAACTTTTTCCATATTTATCTTAGATTTACTCATAATCATTCAAACTTATAAACAACACAGATGCCCTTCAACTGATGAATGACTATGACATGTCATATATCCATATAATAAATACTACTCAGCAATACAAAGAAATAAACTAAAAAAGAATTTTTTTTTAAAGATTTATTTATTCATACAGAACTGGGGGACAGGCCAGAGGCTCAGGGGCGGTGAGAGGGTTCACCAGAGACAGAGTGGGGAGCAGAAGAGGCAGATCGACGAAGTACACTGCTGAGGGGAGCAGCGGGCAGGTCAGGAGAGGTCTGCCGTGCCATGTGGTCACCTCCGGGGCAGGCGGGAATCGAACTCATGCGGAAGTGGCTTCAGCTTCTTAGTGCTGTGCTTTAACACGCTGCGCCACCAGGGAGGGCCTAAAAAAGAATTTTTAAAAATGTACACACCCAAAAAAAAAAAAATGTACACACCCAAACATAATGGATGAATCTCAAAGACATTATGCTAAGTGAAAGGAACCTGACTTAACATACTATATACTCCCCCCCAAATTTGTAACAATAAATAAACCGAAAACCTTTAAAATAAAAAAAATAATGGACTACATACCTGTGTGAGGTCATGTAAACAGATATCCTGGAAGAAGTACAACTACAGGGACAGAGTCTTTTTCTCCTACATTTATGGTTGTATTTTCTGTTGTTTCTCCATTCTGTGCAGTTGATTTACATTGTTCTGGAACATAAAGACAGAAAATGTACTTGTAAATAAATGAATATGATTAAATAAAATGACAGGGCATTTAAATATGACAAACTGAGAAATAATTTTAGCATCTTTTGCTCTTATTGCTGCAAGGGAAGGATTCATGGTTGTAGAGGAATGCCAAAGAAAAGTCTAGTTACCACACTCAACCTCTTCGTGGTTTTTAAGTAAGTCTCACTTTATAGTGAAAAATTATCATGATCTTTTATGGTACAAAATGCCTATTATCATTTGGTTAACCAAATAACATTCATCTCAAAGTAAGTGAAGGAAATTTCTTGCAAAGTTTCACTACAATTTGCATACTAGTATTTAATTACTGTGTGAAGTGACAAATATCCTTTCTTGTTTCCTCTTTCATCTTCACTATGTCCAAAAACAGGCTTGTAAATCTCGTTAAGCAGAACTTAAAAGAAAGCAAGTGTAACTAGAGGATAATTTGGCAATACCTACCAAAAGTAAAAATGCCTTTTGATCTAAATTTATTGTTATACTTGGCCATTGCAGGGGGTTATTTCCTCTGGCTTAGTTTCTAATAGGAATGGTTTGGTAACAACTTAAATGTCTACATGTAGGAAATCGGTTAGTTTATGATAGTGTAAGCAATGGAGTACTATACTGTCCTTACAAAGAGAATTCTTTATGTAGCTATATGAAAAGATATTCAGGGTGTGTTAAGTGAGAAGAGAACTAACAGTGTCTAGAGTGTATTATCTTTTATGCAAAAAGATTAGCTAGGAGTAGTTGAAGGACAGAGATGGGGAATGGCAATTATTTTTTACTGTACTGTGTCCTAATTTGTTTTAAATTTTGCATTAAATTAAATTTCCTGTCTTATGTAGATAACTACTGATAAAACTACAGAGTGAGGCTTCGAAGAAACAATTTTTTTAAAAGATTTATTTATTTATTCATATAGAACTGGGTACATGCCAGAGATGCGGAGGGTGAGAGGACCCACCAGAGACAGAGTGGGGAGCAGAACAGGCAGATCGACGAAGTACACTACTGAGGGGAGCAGCGGGCAGGTCAAGGAGGGGTCTACCTCACCATTTGGATATCCTCTGGGGCAGGCGGGCAGGCGGGGACCGAACTCATGCGAAGTGGCTCAAGCTTTTTAGTGCTGTGCTTTAACCCGCTGCGCCACCAGGGAGGGCCGAAACAATATTTTTTTTTTAAGGAAAAAATTATGTTTCTATTAGTGCTGGTGAGTGATCTGCTATTAAAGCCGATAAAAACATTTTCCATAAGCACGTTCACTATAGTTTATTATAAAGCTCTTCAAAACCCTTTAATTTTATTTAAAAAACTCCTTAAGACGCTAAGGTTCACAATAAGTAGAAAGTGAAATGCCAACCACAAAAATCCAACTCAGCTTCGTGAAGCACCTTCATCGAAACAACAGGTCAAAGAAAATGATCAAGTGTTTTCCCAAAGAACCAGAGGTAGTTTTTCTGGACAGGCACTATTGGAAAATACCGTGTTTAGCGACTTAGTCTCAATTAAGTGACAGCTTGCCCTACGTGCACCGTAAGAGGAGAACGAATTAAAAACGAGGCTGAAGAAAATGTTCGAATGACGAAGAAAAGGGGCCGCTTTGGCTTCTTGAGAGAAGTTCAAGCGAGGTTCTCAGTAGCCTCCCACCTAAATCCCCTACAGATTTCCTTCCCAACCGCCCAGCCTCGGCCGCTGGAAGCGGATCTAAGGGGTCTGGGTCACCGGAGACCCCCAGGAGCGCAGACGGCCCGACGCCCTCAGCCTCAGCCCAGAACCAGTCGATCCGGCTCCGCGCGGCTCCGCCCTTTCGAGCCTTGCTAGCGGCTACGCGTGAGGGTGTGCGCGCCGGGAAGTGCAGCAGGTCGGGTCCTGCCCGGCCGGTCCTGCCCGACGCGGCCACCGGGCCCCGCGGCTCCGGCCTAGGTCACTCGGGTCGGTGCTCGCCT